CGCGTAATAGCCCTGAGAACATTCCTCCAATCCGCAAAAAACCGAACCGACACCCCTTAACTCACAAGTCAAACCCCTGTCTTACGCAGCTCGGATGCCCCGTGCGCGAAATGGCACTTATCCCCAAACGTACACGACCCCTTGGCAAAATTCTCACAAAGCTTCGTCTTGTAGTTACTCCTCGACCCGCCAGGCCCTTTCCCCTGCCCGTTTGCACTATTCCCAATACTGTTTATAAGCTCCTGCACCATCTCGCTTGCCTCCTTTATCTGCTCGAGCGTGCCCTCAAGCTCGATGTTCTTCAGGCCCGGGTTCGTCTCGTGGTCTCTGATCGACAGCTTGGCGCCCGTCTGCCGGCATATCTGCTTCGAGTTCACACCCCCCTTCCCGATTATGGCACCCGCCAGCGAGGCGTCCACGCTGACTTTAGCGGTGGCCGAGGCACCGAAGCTAACTGGTGCTGGGGGGTCGGGACGGGTCACGAAGCGTGTCAGTGTGGGTCCGGGCACGGGTATGGGCAGGCGGGGCGGCTCCTCGTGGGCCTGTTGCAGGTTGATGGGCCGGCCAAGCTCGGCTTCGCCGTGGGCGAAGTTGCACTTGTCGTTGTATTTGCAGCCTTCGGCCGTGCTGTATTTGTTGCACAGTTTGGTCTTGAAGGCTGCAGAGGATGAACCGTTGTGGACAGGCTGTGGGCCCGAGGGAGTTCGGGCGGGCTGTGCCGGAGGGGTCAGGTTCATAAGCTGGGCCACAGCAGCGTAGCCTCCAGGGAAGAAGTGGAGGAAATGGCAGTTCTCACCAAACGGGCAACCTGCCTTGCTGTGGGGAAAAATGGGAAAGTTGAGTCGTCTAAAGAAATCTTACAGAAAAGAAATCGGAAGTGAAAGGAAAGAAAAAAACCCGAAGGAGAAAAGAAAATAGAGAAAAACAGGATTATAAAGCACAAACAGGAAAACAACAACTTTGAAATGAATGGCAGCAGCAAATCCCTATTTATTACAACAGGTTCCCTCAAGACCCTGTTTCAAAGTCTTAACATTTGCAACATTTTGATTACTACAGACAAGCAAATGGTTTTTATTCCAAAAAACAAAATGGAGTAGAGACAAGAGAAAGACAGGATAAAAGAGAAGATTAGTTTGGCTAGGTGTAAGAATGCATTTGGGATTTGGCTATCTTTATATTCCATTGCTTCACTAAACTAATTTTCTAATGAGATTTTCCGTGTATTATAAGTATTCCTTTGCAAGTCTGCATTGTAGTTTGCCCGCACTTGCAGTTTGCCAGATTATGTTGATTTGCCGAAAAATCAGTATGAGAAGTCTAATGACCAGAACTTCCAGGTAGTTAATTTCCAGCTTGTATCCCTAGTGTTCTCTAACCTGGGAACCAATAACTCAGGACAATTTTCAACAATTTCGTTCTAGTTTTAAAACAGAGAAAAAAAAGGGAAAAAGTTTGTACAGCCAAACAAAAAGTTCAGGACTACAAGTGACATTCTTGAAAATTTAAAGCTAACACAACATAAGGTTGCAGCAGTCTAACTTCATATATTATATGGAAGTGTGTTCATAGGCCGGGGTGGAGCAAATACTAACTCCCATGAAATACACCATACGATTTTTGTAACTAAATTTAACTACCCCTATCAGGAAAAATTAGAACATCCATGCAGATTTCAAAAGATTTGAGAAGATGAAAGAACATGTTGAGATTCGATTGATTCAGAATGTTGCAGAGGTTTTAATTTTCAATAACATCAAATTTCATTAACATATTACCCAGTAAGCTGAATTTATTATCGAGAAATCAAAATTGCACTTTTGGTTTGCATACCATATGACACCATACGGATTATGGCAAAAGATAATGTTTAACATAAAGCAACTCAACTAGACTAGTCTCGTTACTTTTCTTCTTCAACTTTTTTGGTATTGCAAAATGCGATTCTTTACAGTTTACCTCATGTTATAGGACCAATTCAAAACTTTTCTGTATCCGAACGTAAAAAACAATGAACTAGTTTTCGATTCTCTCTTTCACAACACCTTCAAATGCACAACCTGCCCTCACCTGGGCCTCACAAAAAAGATTACATATTGCTATTATATTGTATTTGAAATTTAAAAGTATTAGTAACTTTTACTACAATTAGCAATGATGCAAGTCATCCAACATTCGATTGAATTAAATTTTATATTAGGTAGGTTGAGATTTTGAACCTGAAAAACTTCGTGCATGGCTTCGTTTTGCTTCCTATACCACTTGACATGGAGTCCATTTCTGTTGCACAACATTAGTTATATTTTCTCAGGTTAAACTTTACGCTCATTCTTACTATAATCAACACAAATACCCAACAATACTTAAACCCACAGCATTAAACTCTTACAAATCTCAAATTTATCAGTTCAAGCCAGAATTACTACAGAAATACGCTTCAAACAATAGACTTTAAAACAATTTCAGATACCAAAATCCTTATCCTCAGCAGATTTTCAACAAAATTAACCCTAACAAAAGGGAACATATAAACGCAAGTTAATGGAACTTAATTACACCCGAAAAATTGAATTCAATTTATGCTCATTACCAACCATCATAGATCTAATCGAAATACCCAAAAGGTTAATAGTGCAAGAATTTGATTCAACACCATACCCATTGAAGCAAAAACAGAACAACACAGCATAAATACACTTACCTGGCTTGGATTTCTTGAGACCTCCATTGGCACTAAGACCGACTACACCAATGCCCCTTTTGCGAGTGTCCATAGCTTCAGAGCTCACAGATCGAAGCAAACAAAAAAAGGGGCCAAAAAAAATAAAATAATTTGATGTAAGAACAAAATTTCGAGGAGTTGTTGTTGAAGAGAGCAAATATCCCTAGCTCAAGCTAGGGTTTTTCTCGGATGTGGAGATTTATGAATATGAGCTAAATTGAGAAACTCCGAGGATATTGAAGACGACGGGAGCTTATAACGAGGCGAGATTCAACTAGCCACGTGCGCCTAAAATGGGCTGAATTTTGGGCTGGTCTTAAATTTAGCTGACTTGTAAAAAATGAGTTAGGCCCAACATCGGTGACACAATTGGGCCAGACCATAAATTGTCAATTTGGCTAGAACTACATATGCCAGTTTTGGCTCTCCAAACTGCACTTTTAAAGCTCGTGTCTCTGTTAGTTAACAAACAAAATTAGCTGCTAGGGGTGTGATTCGAGGCGACTCGAGCCGAGCCGAACCAAACAACTTAGAGCTCGATCGTTTCATACATTTTTTCTATTAATGGAAATTTTCGCACCATTGTTTTCTTATTTGACATATATTACTCGGCTCCTATGGGATTTAGTTTACTAATGTAATTAGATTTTAGATCCTTCGGTTTAAGTTCTCTTTTGGTTAGTTACTGGTTAGAGATTGTTAAGCTGTCATGACTTCTTTATTAAATTGAAATTTTGAATAATCTACATGGAAATAATAGGAATAACCAGAGCTATCCATATTCTAGAATAATAATAATAATAATAATAATAATAATAATAATAATAATAATAATAATAATAATAATAATAACTGCAGTTCAAACATAAGTTCAAAAAAAAAATTTAAAAATTATTTACAGCTGAGCTTAGAAAATCAAACACTAATCATAGATTCAAGAAGAAAATAGCAAATAATGTACAGCTGAGATTAGAATATCAAACAATGTTCAGGCACAATCTGACAGGAACACACCCTACATTTATGCTTCAGCCATAGAGAGAGTGGCCTTGCGAATCATAAAAGCAAGTTTATCCTCAGTCCTACAGCAGGCAGCATCTTGCCCAAAAGGGGTAAAATTAACACTTCATGTTAGTTTCCTTTTTCCCTTTCGAATGGCTGCAGCCCTAGCAGCAGCTGTATCTTCACTTTCAGGAGAATCTGCAACTACGGCTTGTTCCTGCATAACCAAACCTCGGTTTCTGCATAATTTCCTTATAGGTGTTGTGGGCTGGGCTGCATGAGCTCCTTCGGAGCCAGGCTCAGGACCAGGTTCGGGCTCCGGCTCGGGCTCTGGGTCAGACCAATGATCATGTGCTTCAGTTCTATGTGGCATTAGTTCCTCTCCAGCTTTAACTGAAGCCAACATTGACTGCAAGATGACATTTTGCTGGAGTTTGTAAGATTTAAAACTATGGATATGTATTAGATAGAATAAATAAAAATGGGACATCCAGGCAAGGGCAGTCTAATCTATATGACCCTTCCTTTATAAGATCCTCCTGAAAATACTAGTTAAACTATTTGTTGACGGTCAGTTTTGCCAACAAGATTACGAAGCGGTAATATGTTATTTCAAGGATTATGGTTTGGATTTTAGAAGGAAATAAAAACAACAAGACAATCGCCGAAATAGGTACTTGCGTTAATACGCTTGTACTGAGATTTATAAGATGAATTGCCTTCGATAGGTGTATCATATGTAATGAGAGATCCAGAAGAAATCCTATCGAAAAGCTACTGAACATCGTGACTATTTTTGGCATTCGGTTAGCTATCTCCGCCCATTTCGTCAAGATAAACAAGACATATTCTCATTCAAGAAACCAGTACAAAAGTGAGATTTTGGAAATCTAAAAAAATGTGAGCTTCCATATTAAAATATCACAAGTAAAAAAATTTACTTCGACAAAGATTCTATACATCAGTCTAGTTTAAAAACTCGATTGTTATGTGAGAACATACAAATAGATGACATTTCAAAAATGAGAGAATGTAAAAATAGATGACATTTGAAAAAATAAGTGAGTGAGTGAGGGAGTGAGTGTGTGTGTGTGTGTGTGTGTGTGTTGCATGAATACCTTCCAGTCTCTGAAGTCATATCTGAATATAAAATGGCAGTAAGTGGCCTCCCCAGATTGGATTGCACTTGCACTAGGAGCATTCCTTGGAGCTGAAATTGGTAAATAGATATTACAATAGATAGGAGCCAAAAAAAAAAAAAA